GGCGCCGCGGCCGGACGCGTTGCCGGGAGGAAGCGGAGCGCGGTGGCACCGCAAGCCACCGGACCAGCGCCCCTGGACTGGTCAGGGTGCGGGAGGTGTCGCGTGCGCCTGGCCTGTCCGCCGGGTCTGCACGTCGTGTGCAGGAACCTGTTGCCCTGGAACAGCCACAGCACTGGCTCCGCGGGAGCACGGGACCTCGTGCTCTCTTCGGGGGTGTCTTATGGGCTGCAAAGCGACATCCCTTCCTGCCGGACACAGAGTGACCCCAGGAAAGACCGGAGCTTGGAGGAGGGACGTAGAGGGTCAGAGCCCAAGAGGCAGATCTTGAGCCACATCTCAACGGGCAGAGACCCAGAGAGGGAGGGCCCCTCAGAGCTGCCCAGTGGACCCCAGGCCTGAAGGAAGGGGCAGAGATCTGCTGCCATGGTCCCGAGGGTTTCCCAAGAGTGGAGGGCTGCGTGCTCGTGTCTGGTCTGAAGAGTGGAGACATTCCAAGACTTTCCAAGGAAGCGCTTTCTAGGGAAGAGAGTTGCCCTCCTTGGGAGAGGAGCGAGCCCCTCATCAAACTCCTTGCACTTGGGTGGCCCTAGTAGCCCCTGACCCTAAACTGATTCCGTAGGAGCAGGGACTGGCAGCCTGGAGGCATCCCCAGACTGGCCTCGGTTCCCTTTGGTCTTCCTTCTCACTGGTTGTTGAGACTCGTGGCCTGGCAACTCCTGAGGAGGGGCCCAGCAGGCTGGAGAGTGTGGGGATAAGGTGGCTGGACCCCTGCCCTGACCCTGCCCAAACCTCTAAAGGGGGCATTGCTACTGCCAACGAAACAGAACAAAAACTATAAAAATCTCTACTTTCCATCCTAGGATCTATTGGATGTTTTATACACCATTTCCTTGTGCATTTCTGAATTCCCGATTTATGGTTAAGGGAACTGGGAATCCTGAGGTTTAGGGACTGCCTAGTGTCTCCTGGAAATCCCAGTAGCATTGATATTGGTGCTCCCACAAATGTGACCCAGACCTGGTGACCCAGGAGCAGGAAGACCAAGCCACCTCCTGACCTAACGCTATTTGCTGGGGGTGGGAGCCCAGCTGTGTGATCTGAGAAATGGGGTTAGGGGTGTGTTGTCCTCCCTACAAGACCCCAGCAGAGCTCAGCAGGACCCAGCCGGGCACTTGGAACCTGCCATTAGACAGCCCTGCATGGGCTGTCTTGATGTTAACCCCAGCCTTTCCTGCTCATGCCCCACAATTACCCCAGAACCAGGGCACAGCCCCTAAGAGCTGTGCAGGATAAAGGAGAGTGCCCAACTCTGGGGAGGGGCAGATGCATTCAGAGTTGGGGGGCCTAGGAGGTAGAACCCCAGGCTTACCACCTGGTGGCTGGTATTTTGCAGAGTCCCTTCATCCCTGCTATGTGAAGAGTAGGTTGCTGGCCCCAGTCCTAAAGCCGGCACCTTGCCTAGGGTGAGTGCACCTGCTGGATGCCCACCCTACTAACTGCCGTGGGGCACGAGGGCTGCTCTGTTCCACAGCCGGCTGGGCAAAGGGCCAGGTGTGACTGTGGGAACCATGTGCATACGGCATCCCAGTCTGAGAGGAGAGGGGTGGCCCCACCTTGCAGCTGAGCTGTTTCAGGGACCCCTCTCCTAGCAACACCCAGGACCAGGCCTTCCCAGTGGCTCCACACTGCCTGTGATGGTGGGTGGCACCTCAGTGCACATAGGGTGGGGGGAGTGAGGGGAGACGTGGCCCATGAACTAGGGGCAGGAGGGCTAGGACCAGGCATGGGCAGAGGTATCACAATCCAGGCCTAGGGGCCAACCAGCTCACATGCCCTCTGCTCCAGATCTGCAGGCCCCAAGGGCAGGAAAGATCCAGAATGTCTGTGCACCCATCTTTGCCCAGGTCAGGTGCAGGATCCAGCCCTGAGCTACCCTGAGCGCACAGCAGAACGCAAAGCCTTGCTTGCGTGTTTAAGTCTTGGGTGTGACATTAACTTTGAGTGACTGCTCAGTGCTGGAATCTGCCCCTCTCCCAAGTCTCAGAGGCAGGAGAGGCTCTAGAGTTTTGTTGACTCCTGCAAGGAGACCCCAGACTCTGCCCTGAGAATGTGGGGTGTGTGTGGGTGGGGGGGGGGGAGGGGGATGCTGCAGGCTAGGAAGGTTGCCTGGAGGAGGTGGCTTTGGCTAGGCCTCTGAGGAGATTAGTGCCTCCAGGACACTGGGTCCTGGGGGTGGCATGGGGCAGGCACCTTGGGTCCTGCCCACCTTCCCCCAGCTTCCACTGCAGAGTCCAGGGAACAGGAAGAGCCAGGAATGGCTGAGAAGCCGCCCCCCTCCATGGTGCTATCAGCCCCCAGCCCCAACCCCGGTGGTTTGAGATGTCCAGCTCTAAGTAGGACGCCTGTTTCCCCATTCTAGACCTGGCCGGGATGGGTTTTGCCTTGCTTGCAGTCCCTGCTGAGCTGGGACCCTCCCTGGCCCCTCCTCACCCCTGCAGGCAGCAATGCGGTCGCCCCCCTGCCCTGGCAGCCCAACCTCACTGGGAGCGCAGGTGGTGGGGTGGGTCGCCCTCTGGTGGCCACCAGGGTCTGCAGCAGGGACCCTGGAGGGGGCGCAGTCCTGGGCCCCAGAAGGGGAGCACACCTCCAACCCTACTCCTCCCATTTGGCCTCCTGGGATTATATTGTTCATCACCTTCCCCAGCAGCCGGAACACCAAGGCCACACAGCTGGTGTGGGGGGCTGCCCGCCTGCATGTCCAGGGGAGGAGGGCCAGGCCTGAGGGCAGGCTGGCTGTCCCTGGGCACGTTGTGGGGATGGATGAGCCACAAGTGGGGGCAAGCAGCAGGGCACCTCCAGAGGCCAGGGGTGGGTGTAGGGGTGGGAGGTGGGAGCACTGGATGAGCTGAGCCCACTGTGGGAGGGGCAGGACCAGGTGGGGTGCATCCCTCGTCCCCACCCCGATGCCACCTCCCAGAGTACAGAGAGCTTTGGGTGCTCCACCCCAGGCCCTCCATCCTCTGCCTTGGTGGCCTGCAGGCTGCAGGTCCTGAGTACCTGTGGGGCCCAGCCAGACCTAGGACCCCCACCTGTTACCAGAAGCATGGGGTGGAGGCGTTGGGGCACACGGAAGGTCTTCTCCCCAGGGCCTGTGCATAGCCAGAGAGGGGAGATGGGCAAGCCAGACCCAGGTGCACCAGGCTCCTGCAGCTCCCCAGCCTTCCCTGATGCCAGACAGGGGTGTGCCGTGGGCGTTCAGATGCCGGTGGAGCCCCTGTCTCCACACCTGCCTCAGAAGGGGCTCTCCAGGCAGAGCCAGCTGGGACTGTCACGGCACCCTCTGCTTCCGCCTCTCGTGTGACCCTCCTAAAAGCTAACAGCGTCTGCCAACTTCTGTAAGCCTCAGTTTCTCCATCTATGACACCGGGATCCTGCCCCCTCGGGGGATTGTCAAGGGGAGTAGAGGGGACAGTGCTCAGAAAACGGTAACAGGAAGGACATAATGATGGTGACACAGGGGAACTGGGGGGCTCAGGAAGGCTAGCCTGCTCCAGGGTTGCCTCCTTGCAAGGGCTGCCTCCAAATCTGGAGCTCGTGTCTCTCTCTCTACCTGTCCCTGTCCCCAAGGTCTCCTAGTCTTGAGCCCCTACTGTGGGTGGGCAGCAGACTATTCCTTCTAGAACCTTCCTGAGTGGGAAACTCGGTGTTGGACTAATCCACTTCCCATCCCCAGGTCTTGGCTCTGCCCTTGGGGTGTGGATAGCTCTGTCGAAGGGTAGGGTGACCCCACGTCCCCGGTTTAGCACGGAAAGTCTCATGACTCAGGACTCTCATTCCTGAACAAACGGTATAAGTAGTCACTCTTACTGGAGGCTCCCATGGCCCCAGAACCTTCCTCCAGGGCAGCTCAGGGTAGGGATGCACAAGGGCAGGCCAAATCTGGCTTGGCGGGCTTCCTGGCTCCAGGCCACACCCAGAGCTCTCCCTGTCTCCCTGGGACCCAGGCCTCTCCCTCAGGAGCGCAGCTCTGTCTGTGCCAAGGGTGGGCAGGCCCTCTTTCCTGGGTCTCCATGCCTCCCAGCCTGACCTGGTGGATAAGGAGGGTCACTATGTTTTAGTCTGGAAGGTGACAACTGTGGGCCTGTTGAGGAGAGGAAGGGGGACCCTGCAGTGTCCCCTCAAAGCAGCTTCTCCTGTGAGGGGCTGACCTCCTGGTCTGACAGCAGGGGCTGTCTTCCTTCCCCGGGCAGCTGACCTTCCAGAAGTCTCCACTGTCCAGCCATTGGAGCTGCAGCCACCCACAGGGGTGGGAGGGGCTCTGTCCAGGGCAGGAGGATGAGGCCCAGGCTTGGGCAGCCAGAGACACCAGGTCCCCCTGCAAATCCCTTCTCTTCTACTCCTGAAGGACTCAGGAGTGCCCCTAGGGAGTCCCCCAATTCTAAACTCTTTCACCTCTCAGGAAGAAAGTGGGCCTGGTGGCCACCAGTTGGGTGGTTTCTCACAACCATCCCTCCATTCTCTGGGGTCCCAGTGTCCACCTCCAAGGGACTAGACACCCAAGTGATCAGCCTCCAAGAGCAGAGGAAGGCCCCATTGCCATGGCAACCCCAGGGTGCAGCCTACTCCCCCGCATTCTCTCCAGGGCACTCCAGAAGGCAGCCCCCCCGGTGGATGGGTGGTCCTGACCCGGACCAGGTGGGGAGGGCTCCAAGGGGGAGTGTCCAAGAGTACCCACCCGCCAACACACACACACAGGCCAGGATTCTGAGCTGAAGACCATGCGAAAAGGGGCTGGGCAAGTGGGCAGGCAGTGGAGACCCTGGACCCCTCGTAGGGCATGGGATGGGGCTTTCGGGGGGGCAGGCTGGCTACCCCTCTCCTACGGGCTCATGGGAACCCCTCAATTTCCCTAGGAGCGCAGAAGCCCGGAGCTTTCTAGGGAAGAATGCAAGAACACCGCTTCCCAGACGCAGAAAAAGAAGTCCACGTTCACACCAGAAACAAGTGTCTGCAATCCTTAAATAGATGTATGGAAATGGCTTCGAATTACAGCATTTAGAAAATAAAAATAATCTCAATACATAATATCCCCTCCATTATATACTCCCCCCCCCGAAGCCATTTCTGTGCATGTGTACCCACTGTTCAGCAGTAGTTGGATTTTCTTATAAAAGAAGCAGTAGTTAGCGTCTCTCTAAAAATAAAGCTGCAACCCTCACTGCAATGTGAAGCCTGAGATTTAAGCCTGAGGTGTCCGTGCTGGGGCCCCCTGGCGGCCTCCGCCTGGGTGCCGGGCCACTCTGGGGTCTGAGGAGGTGGGCCAGGGTCCCTGGGGGGAGGGGGTCAGAGGGAAGGGGGTAGTGGCAGCAGGTGGGTGACATCTGGTGGTCCTCGGACCCCGGGGGCCCTGGCCTAAGAACCTGGGGAACTGGGTCTCAGTGCTGTGCAGGCAGCTGCCCGGCCCCCCATCTCGTCAGCAGCCGGGCACACACCGGCAGGGGCACGCCTGCGGCCCAGAGGACCTGGCCGTGTGTCTGAATCTCCCCCTCCGAGAATACACAAGATGCCTGCTGTTTGGCCAAGGGTGGGGCAGCGCTGGAGAATGAGATGGCAGCTGCGGGCTCGGGGCAGGGACAGAGAACGGGCAGTGCATGGGAAAGCCCTGTGGGGACGCCGAGGCCTGCCCTTCTCCTGGACCTGTCCACCATCAGCCCAGGGGCAGTCCCACTTGGCTGGTCAAGAGCCGGCTCTGAGTAGGCCTTCTAGTATGGCTGAGCAGCTCAGCAGGCCAGGGGCCGGGGGCAGAGGGCAGGGGACAGGGGCCGGGGGGCAGAGGGCAGGGGCAGGGGCAGGGGCAGGGGGCAGGTGGGAGGAAAGCCCACCCCTGCCCAGGCAGCCACCTGGCAGCCCTGGGTATCCCCACTGCCTGAAGCTGACCTCCCGTTGGCCCCTGCAGCTGGCCGGGGGTCCCCACAGGTGGGGAGTCCAGGGTAGGAGGGACGGAGGAGCTGGACGTTCTGGAAGCCTGGGCGGCCCGCAGCCTCCTGCAGTGGTGGCGGCCGCTCAGTGAAATGCAGTGGAGACCCTCCTGCAGCCAGCAGCACCGCCCCCGGGAGTCCTCTGGGGCCCTGGCAGGTTTGGGGAGTGCCGGCGCCCTGTCAGATGCCCGCCTTGTCGCTGTAGAAGGGTGTGACGTGGAACATGTAGCAGTGCGTGCACACGCGCACGGGCTTCACCTGCCCGTAGCGGGGCAGCGGGGCCGAGTGCGAGGAGCAGCGGGAGCAGAAGATCTGGAATTTGAGGGGCGGGCAGGGGACCCAGTGAGCCAGGGTGCCAAACAAGCCACCGCCACCCTCCCCCCCATGCCGTGCCTCACCCCTCCCGACCTCGGCGGTTCCCACATCCTCCCTCCTCCAGCGTGCAGGGCACCCCGGGAAAGCCGTGGGTGGGGCATGGCCTCGGGAGGCCAGGCTCACGAGGAGGGTCCCAGCCCTACTCCAAGGCTGCTGCAGGCCTCCTGTTCAGACCCTCCTTCCCTCCACGTCCCCAGCTCTGAGGCAGCTGGGGGCTGGGACCATCGGGACCATCGGGACCCAGTGGGCAGAGTGCCTGGAGTCCACTCACAATGCCAAGTCCAAGCGGGGCCCAGGGCTCAGGGACAGGGACCCCAAAGGCCTTACCAGTGCCCTGGGGTGTCGGTCCTGACTCCCAGATCCCGCGGATGGGCCCCGGGGATGCCCCTGGCCACAGTCTCTGGGTATGCGGGCACAACCTCTGGCCACCGTACCCCTCTTACCTTCCCGCAGCTTCGGCAGTGGTGCTTCCGGCGGATAACAGTGAAGGGTGCTTTGCATGCCGTGCAGAAGCCGCAAGCCTCATCGGGGACCCACTCTGGTGGATCTGGGGCGAGAAGGGGGGGACGCGTCAGCCAGAGGGGGCCGCGAAGCGGTGACAGTGGCAGCCGGTGGGCTGGGGGGGGAGGCCGACCCCGGCAGGTGGGTGTTCCGGTGCCTTCCGCTGGGTGGGCCCCAGCAGCTCCAGCTGTCCTCCCCTCCCGTCCTCCCCTGGACTCCAGGTGCTGGTACGGTCTCGGGACACTGCTGGCATCGCATGGACAGGACCTTTGCAGCTGTTGTCAGTGCCTGTCTGCCAGGCCACCTGGATTCGGGACGTGGGCAGGGAGTGTTCCCCCGGATGACCCTCTCCTGAGCCTCTCTCTGTCAGCACCCAGCCTGGCAGGGCCCTCGGGCAGAGGTGGCAGCTGAGAAGTGAAGAAATCAGCCACCGGCTCGGCACACTCTGTGGGGATCCCCGGGGGCCCCAGCCTTGCCCACCCCTAGCTCCAGAGCAGTTATGGGGTCCTCGTGGTCCTGGAAACCCAGGCAGATGTCCGGCCGGCCCCTCTCTGATACAGGTGCAGGCCAGGCTGGGGCCTGGGCCCCCCTTCCAGGTGGGTGTGGGACCCATCCTGTCTCACTTCTAGAGGTGCTTGGAAGCCTCTATGGAGGTTTGCTCTGGGATTCGGAGACTCATCAGTGCGGGGGAGGAGAGAGCTCCCACACAGCAAGACAGGCACTTTCCTCCCATTCAGGCCCCAAGGCCAGAGCCAATAGCCGGGCGGGGTGGGGGAGAACATCTGGGATCTATCCCTCAGACCACAGTGTGCTCAGAGGTGGTCTGTCCAGACTCGCACGACCCCCAGGGCTCAGGTGGGCACTGGCCTGCACCCCTGGCCCCAACCTCAGCACCTCCAAACGGAACTCGGCAAGGCTGCTGTCCAAGAAGGGCCTGGGGTCTCCTGGCCTCCCTCCTGGCCTGGAGGGTCTGCCCCTCCTCCTGCCTGCACAGACCCAAAACTGCCTCCCACCCACCTCTCCCACCTTCCCTCTGGGCCCCGTGAGCTCACCTCAGTGCAGGGAGGTCATTTCTCCCGCTTGCCACCCCTCCCCTGTGTAAAAATCCCAGGCTGACCCCAGGGAAATCCCAGGTGGCAATGTTAGCCCCTACAGGCCATGCTAGGCCACAGACACCAGCTCAGACAGAAAAGGCCAAACCCTCTCCTGTGAGGACCGTGAGGGTCCGGGGGACTTCCTGGAACTGCTCCTCTGACCAGCATCCAGGCCCTGTCAGCAGGTGCCACTTCCAGGAGCGAGGCTGGGTCAGCAGTCGGCAGGGAGGGTGCGGCTCCCGCCCGTGCACTGGGCAAGCCGGACCTCACAGCTTTTCACTTCCGCTCCTCCTGAGCAGAGGGGCTCCGAGTTCCTGCTACAGGTGCTTTGTACCTCGTGTATGGTTTTCCAGAAAGAGTCGGGAGATTGTGCCTGCTCCGGACACCCCATCCCCGCAGCCCCCTCTGGACACCCGCATCCCCATCACCCCCAGAGCACTGGAGCGCCGGGGAGGCCCTGAGACGGACACAGGCAGGGCCAGCCCAGCTGTCCAGGCACACCAGGAGTGCTATGGGCTCTGGCCCATCATGAGGTGAACTTTCAACTCCTTCTCAGCTCCACGCGCATCTGACACCTGGTTGGGCCCACCTGCCACCATCCATCTCAGTACCTTTCCCAGGTCCCCAGCCCCTCCCCACAGACATGATGCCAGGGCCCCAACCTACCCTGGAGGCTCCCTCCCTGACCGGGACACCAGCAGGCCTGACCTCCAGGCTAACAGGGTAGCAGGGGCTCGGGGCTCCCACATAACCAGAGAGTGCAGCCTGCAGCCTCCTGTGAAGAGGGTGCCAGAAGCTGCCATTGAGGCCCTTCCTGTGGGGCAGGTGAATGCAGGTGGGGACAGGTGTGTGCCTGTGCCGAGCCCAGCCGCCTCCAGCCAGAGGCCCGTGTGCCCACCCTGGGGGCCGAAGAGGGGATGCCAGAGTGGGGAGTTGCCTCCCCAGGGGCAGCTACGTGCCCAGAGGGCCTCTGGGGAGGGACCCCCAGTTGGAGAAGCGGTGCCTTCATGGATTCCACATCCAGGGCAGAAAGGGGGACAGTCCAGACAGGGCCTTTGCTCCCTGCCCAGCACGCAGCACCGTGGGCGCTGGCCCAGACTCCACACGTACCTTCCAAGTCCCCATCTCGGGTCTTGGCTGCCAGTTCAGAGGATGACAGGGTCTCTTGGCACAGGGCACAATCCTCTAAGGCTGCACTCCGCAGGCTCTGGGTGACTGGAAGAGAAGGGAGGGGTGGGGTGGGCACAGAAACACCTGTTCCTGGTAGCCCCACCTCTGCATCACTGGCAGGGGTCCCCCAAAGCCAGCTGCAGTCCCACGGCCATGGGGTCACCACAGCCCCAGCAGGCCGGGTACTGACCCCGGCAGGGGCCTTCGGTGCCCAGAGGCATGCGGCCTCCCTGGGGGCCCCCAGCCCCAGAGACCCTGCACGGTCTGTGCAGAAAGGTCTCCCTGGGCTGTGATCCCTAAGCCCACCATCCTTGCTTGCAGAAGCGGTCCATGTCACCTGCCTTTTCTGAACCGTGATGTCTCAGGAGGCAATCCCGCCCAGGAATCCCCGGCAAATGGGAGCAGCGCAGCCTGGCATGGTGCTGCCAGGAGTCAGAGCTTGGTGGACACACAGAACTAACTCTGCTCCTGCTCCCCGCTAGCAAGGAGGGGCTCTGGTGGGCTGGGGCGGGCTGCCCTGTGTGCCCAAATGCCCTGTGATGAGGGGCAGCTGGCCCAGAACAGGTATCTCAGCCCAGCACGGGGGAGAGGGGGTAAGCCAAGGGTCCGCTCTCTCCCCACCCCAGGCACGTGACAATATGAGAACGTGTGTGTGCGCGCGCGCACGCGCAAGTATGCATGTGGGTGTGAGGGCGTGTGTCTACACCCGTGATGTGTTGAGCATGTGTAAGTATGTGAGGCAGGTCCCAGGTGGCCACAGGATATGAACAGCCACTTTCCCCAGGGAGAGATGGGGCCTATGTCCCCTCCTTGACTCTGGGCTGGCCTCGGACTGTTTTGGCAGCCAGAATTTGCTAGAAGTGACTCTGCCACATCTGGGTCTTGTCTTTAGGAGGAAGGGCACTGTCCCTCCCAGCCTGTTAGCCCCAAGAAGTTGGGTGACCTCGCAGGAGCATACGCAGAGGGAGAGTGGGAGGTTCTGCGGGCACAGGCCGGTGCGTGTGAGGTTGTAAGCCACCTGCAAAGCCAGCGGTGGGGACACTGCCCCAGGCAGGTGGCCTCTCGGGCACTTCTGGGGCCTGTGATGTGTGCCCCTTGGTCCCCTAGCGGAGAGCCTGGCAGTGCTGGGTGCTTCTTGTTTGGAATGTGGCAGGTTGTGCAGAAGCTGGGTGGCCCTACAGGGTGAGGAGATGCTGATCCCTGGGGTGGGGACACGCCCTGAGCGGGACTCACCCTTCTTTAGCTTTTCCTTGTCGTCTGCTTCTGGTTTGGTGGCCATGACCTCAAAAAGGGTCTTGAGAATACTTCTCAGATCGCTGGCATAGTTGGTCTGCAGCTGGTCAGCCACACCTGGGAGGGGAGGAGGGCCGTCAGGCTCCGGGGGCTCCAGCCGCTGGCTGTGTCCTCAGGTTGGTGGGGGCAAGAAGAGGCCACCAGCCCCCGGGAGCTGGCTTTGTTGGCAGGAGTGAAAGCTCAGGAGTCCAGGGGAGGCCGGTGGAGGGGTGCCTACACAGCCAGCCCCCCGCTGGCCCCTGCTAACTCTCACTCCCACATTTTATCCTTGGGGTCGCAGCCACTACTCCTGAGTGGTCCTAGCCTCTCACTGACAGGTGACCCCAGGGCCCTGAACCGTGCCCACTGCCCACAGCAGCGCCTTCACTGACACAGCCACGTGTGTCCGGTCGTGCCCTCTTCCCCTGGCAGACGCTGCTGCCCCAAGTCCCCCTGACTGCAGGGGCCCCTTCGGGGCGTGTGGCTGGGAGCCAAGGTGGGCCCTGCCCTCTGCCGGACTCCCTGCCATTCCCTGCTTCCCCCACTCTCACCGCAGAGCCCTCCTCCTCCCTGAGACGGCTCCCTCTCCCTGAGTGGGGCTCCCCTTCCCTGACTGAGGGCTCCCCGTCCCTGAGTGAGGCTCCCCCTCCCTGCGTGGGGGGTCCCCCTCCCTGAGTGAGGGCCATTTCTCAGCGAGAATCGAAGCCCCGTTAGCTCCTTCCGCGCAGACACGGCTGCTACTTATGGGGAAAGCCTCGGGCGTCCGGCCAGAACGGGAAGCCCAGTGACCCGCCCCAGGGACTGCAGTCAGCGCTTCCGGAGGATTCTTTGTGCACCGCGACGGTACTGAGCGCCTGCCAGACTCCATATCCCTAAACCTCGAAACAAAGCTGTGTGGCAGCTGTGTGAAGCCAAGCTCGGGTCACCGGGGTCCTCCTGGTCCCACCTGGCCTGGCTTGGCAGTGCCTGGGGGGCCCCGGGGCAGTATGGGACACCCCCCCATCGTGACCGGGATTCTGCAGGGATCCCGCCCCCCTCCACCCCCCCAGGGCCACCGGCTGCAGTCCTGCCAAGCAGGCCGGGAGGAGCGGGTAGCGTGGGCTGCGGGGGAAGCCCCGTCTGCAAGCACCCCTAAACCGGGAGGGTGGGGGTGGGAAGGGCACGCAGGAGGCCGGGGAGGGGGACTTCAGTGCGTACTTTTATACTGTTGAATCACATGGATGTGTTAGTTATTTTAACACACGAACCAAAGAGCAGCATTAAAAAGACACCTTTTGGCTCACGGCCCTCTGAATTCCCCGGGAGACAAAACAGGCGTCTCCCTCCTGTTCCCCCACTCGGGGGAAACAAAACTAGGCAGGATGAACGCCACAATCGGAACCACGAACCGAACAGACCCTCGCTGTGTGGGTGGCCAAGGCCCCCACGAGAGCCGGATGGGTTCCCCAGTCACAGAAGGGGGCCCTAGTGAGGAATTAAGCCTTCCTCCCTCCTGGGCTTGGGGATGATGAAATGGCACTGTGGGGGGATCCCCAGATGGCAGGGAGGGGATGCTCCCATTGCCCGGCACAACCCGCGTCCTGCCCAGCAGGGACCTTGCGGCCCACCCTCAGCCCTGCCCCGCCCACACTCGAGGCCCCGCCCAACCTGCAGCCCACCCTCAG